TTTTCAGTGCTTTCCACCTTCAAAGGGCTTCCCACTGGTTGACATGCTTTAGAGTAATGACTATCAAAACTGCCTTGTGAAGTAAGTGCTCCAAGTATTAAGTTGTTTTCTGGCTTTCTTCCCTCACTTGTGTTCAACGCCCCAAAACCCTTAGAATGGGGGCTGTATTCAATCACTGCTACATAGTCCTGACACATTATAAGCTGTTTCATGACAACATGGCTGGTGGGTAGGTAATTTGCCACTCGATTTGTCCAACATTTTACTCTAGTGAAACAACTGTCTCAACCTCAAGGCTTGGCAGGGCTATGTGGATGCCTGCCATTATTATGGCTTCGTTCTTTCCTCTAAGTGCCATACCCAAGGACTTCAGTGGAAGCCAGAAGCCAGAACATGGGCTTTGCATTTTGACCGTAGACTTATCTCTCACCACTTGCATCTTGCTCAGCTGTTCTTAAAGGCCACACTTCATTCAGTAATCCTTTTTTCTTCCAATCCAGCCTTCAAGAGATGCATTCTGAAACTGCTCCTGTCTACCAGATAATTATGCTTAGTTAGCTGTACTCAACAATGATGATTTCATAACATGCTACAAACAGGTGCCCATTAAATTCCTTTATTGGAGACAGAAACATTGCATAATTACAGATTTGATGAGGAAAACTGCAAATAGTATAGACTGTTTCTACTGCCAGCAAAATACAGTTATTACAGGATTTATAGACATACAAATATAAAGTGTTTCTTTCATGCCAGATGGTCTGTATGTAACAATGCCGTTAGGAGTGTTTAATTGTGCTTCTACAAAACCTTTAGAGAAGAATGAGGTAGAGTTTCCTTTAGTTTATCCAGTATTTTCTCACACATCTGCCCTTTACTGCTTTTATATGCTCAGATCCTTGTAAAATACCCTGTTAACTTTAACATTTAAAACAACAGAGACCCTTCAGAGGTGTTTACTTCTCACCCTTATGTTGCTAATTTCCCACTGCTTACATGCTACATTCCAAGAACTACTACTGCATCCTTCTAAATGCCTTGAAGGTCAGGTAGACTGGGACTTTTATCTTTCCAAATGTACTGGCCTGACAGAAATAGTTTAAAATAGCTTCAAGTCTCTATTGTGGCAAAGAATATCTGACATTCTGCCACTCTTTACTGTTGACAACAGATAGTGTAAAAGCCATCTTCCAGGAGACAGAAGGAATAGGTTCATTCTTTGTCAACATCCTCATCTATGGGAAATAATATACTCATCTCCTACTTGTAGGTCTTGTCAGCTATTAGGCCATTAGAAGATAAACAGAAATTACAGGAACAAAATAGGCCACTGACATGTAGAAAACAGTGTCTCGGTTTTATATGGTCTGGAGCAATACTTGTTTGTTTTAATCTATTATTTTATGGTTTCATGGCATATAGAAGCGTGTTGCAGGTTTCAGCTATGCTACGAGGGGTAAAATTATGAAAATAGAGGCACAGATGTAAGCATTTAAGCAACTGAATAGGGGCATTCATGAACAAAAATCTAGCATGCTGCTAGGCATTTGGTATACCTGGGTAGTCTCTGTTTTGGACTCAATGAGAATGGTAATTACACTCTTCTGAACTCCTATTTTGACTGAACTAAGGAGATAGATAATTTTACTAATTCCTAGCACATCTACTCTGAGGCAGAAGACTTCCACTTCACTTTCTGCTCTGGTATTTGCTGCCAGTACTTTAAACTTATCAAAATAATCCAGCAGGCATTAAAACTGGATAGTAGAGAGAAAATAAAAACACCACAAATCTGGTATTTCACTCAAAAGACCACAATTCTAGCAGAGACCAAATCATAACAAAGAAGAGATTTGGCATAAAGGAAGGTGATCACATAAAGAAAAAGAACACTTGCATTCTTCTTGTAATCTCTTGAGATACAATAGTGTAAGATAATAGCTCAGTAACACTGTGTCACAGCCCTAAAATGAAATTTTTTATTAAAAAGGTGCAAAATTCTTACCGTTCATATCTTGATCACTGGGATCATAAAGTGAAAACAGATCTGCTCCCTCACGACAGTACTGCCTGAGATAACTTCTGTGCTCTTCCATCTCACACTTAAAATGACTGCTACAAGCATGAGAAAATCGAGTCCTGAAGAGTTAGCAATATCAAGAGAACCAGCTCTTAGAAACTTCCCCAACTCTTGCTTGCAAGAAAAAAACCACTACGCTTACTTTATCTACTTCTCCCTGCACACCTCTTTGGTCAATAACAACAGAGATCCTGGAAAAGAGGATGAAACATAATGTGAAGGACTCTAAAGCACTGGAAAATCATTCGGTACACTATAGTGTATACTTATTTCTATAAAGTTGTCTTCTCCTACCTTAACTTTACCCAGAAGATATTTTAAAGAGTTTCAAAATTCTTTACAAAAGGTCTTAAATTCTCCTTAACATCCTCCTGTTCACGTGAAACGCTTTCTTTCTTTCTTTTTTTTTTTTAAAGCATGGCATGAGAATTAGGAGTTGTGCTAGAAATAAGACACAATAAATTAAGTTTTGTGATAAGCAAAAAAACAGTGTAAGTTCGTGTTCAAAGACAGGCACAAAAATTTAGCTATTTCTACTATTCTATTTCTATTTCTACTAGTAACTTTAAACATCACTATTTAGAAATGTTGGGTATGGTAAACCTTGCTAGTGTGGTCAAAGATATTTATTTCCATCTCAGCTACTAATGCTGATTTTGTTATATGCCTAAGGCTTGACTACTCTAATTCAGTATTGCTGCACACCTGATAGGTCCTAATGTACTTGACTGATGAAGCTCAAAGTAAAGCAGAAGTTTTGTTAATGGAGTTAGACATATTTGCTAATTTTGCCATAGACAGCACTGAGATTTTGCATGGTTAAAACAGTTTCAAATAACTATTAGGCTGAAAGCAAGGCATAAGCAGAATGACAGCAGCAACATGGTTTTCCACCAATGCAATATTAGTAATCTATTTTGCTATTATGACTACAACTACTGATATATTTAATTAAGAAGTGACTCAGCTCAACAATGATTCAAGACTTATAAATTATTTTTCCAAATTTTGAAGGTAGCGATAAAACACAGTAAAACAGAGGCTTGACATCTTCCAATTGCTGAAGAATGCAATTCACAAAATTTGTAGCCAAGATAATTAAAGAAGTCTGTCTCAATGCTACAAGGTGTCCCTTCAGAACAGCTGCAGTTTAATGATTCTACATTAGAAGTACTGTACTGTACACTGCATCATTCTCTGCTGCTTAGAAAGCTTTTGGGGAAGCTTATTTCTTCTGTAATAAAATAACTTTGGATTAGAGTTAAAAGCAAAAGACTGGTATTACTACTACTCTGCACTTACAAAGAAATTAGAACTTCTTTGTTCAGGGTCACAGAGTCAGTGTCAGTCTGTTCAATCATTACACATTCAGATTGTAAAGCGCAATTCTGATCCCTGATCACACCTGCAAGATGAATACAACACTCTTCTTTTTTTTTTTTGTTAGTAAATTGTCACCACTGCTAAAAACAAAACTAATGCACAATTTGCTTAAATGGTCATTATAACCATGAAATTATGTGACAGCACAATAGGACAGTAAGGGGAAAAGGGTTTGCTAATCTATGTGGAAAGGAGAAAAAGACAGAAAAGAATGGTTGATTTCAGGATGTACTCAGCCAACATTTATGGCTGCCCACTTCTCAGTATACAAGCTCACCACTGGGACATCACAACTATTAGTACGGTGATTCCCATACAGAGAGAAAAGTCTGACACAGCCATAGTCGAAAAGACTGGGATACCATCTTTGTGATCTACTTTGCAGCTGGGCACCATCCAGAGACAGTTCACTCTAAGCAATCTGCTGAGATTCTGTACGTTGTTTTGGAGAGGACACTGAATTCCAGAGAGTTTCTCCTTTAAACAGGCTGCTAAGGGATCACTCTGTGATCCCAGCTGTTTCTCTCTCTCCTTGGAAATCTGTGTATTACACAGATATTTCAAAGAACTCACATTCCAAATCACCCTTGCAAATACCCATTTTTTCCAAACCACCAGTGTTTGCGCCTGTGGAAAAGTAAGTATAAAGTAAGTATATGGGAATGATCAATTTATATCTCCCTGCTGAATTAGGTACACCCTAGACAAGAGTTTATCTAAGAAAGACCAATGGAGGACAACTCCTTTTTGGATTGAGATAGTCGGGCAGGTGTAAACTAGGTGGGTGGAGAGATCTCTCACTGTCTTGGCTTTTGTCTTGTCAGATTTCCTTTCTACGTCCCAGAAAGTCATGTTTGCTTTGCACCACTATGGGCTGAACAGATTATCTATTCTAAGCAGGGACCTTCATTAGTGCTCTAGTTAAGTAACACCAGTTGCTGATACCGTAACTCTTGGCATCAGAACGGCCTGCATGAAATGCCAACTTTATGAGATGTTCTCTCATTTGAAGGACTTCTTTCCCAAGCATAAATCATACTCACCAAACTGAAAATTAAGGACACTCTGAATACTGAAAATAATAATCAAAACAATGAAGGGGGAAAGAAAGATGAAAATTAGAGTTCATCATTATCATTTTAAAGGATCAGAATTTGTAAAGCACAAATGTGAAAAGGCTGAGTCTCAATTGATCAATTCAGCTAGACATTAAATAATTGCAACCAATTATGCAAGTATCAGACAACAATATGAATTTGTTGATCTTCTTTGAACAATCTCAAATTCTAATGTTACATTATCTTAAATCTTAAATGATCAATTAACAGAACCATAACTAACTGAGTAAGAATGGATAATTGCCTAGTTATGATGTACTATTCACTTTCTATGTAAATTTGCTGCAATTAAACAAATAGGGCACATGGAAGAGAGATGTGCAGATGTTCTTTTACAATCTATTACTAGCTCAGGGAATTCCACAGCTCCCTCCTAAATCTTACAGGGAAAAATAGGAAGAACACAATACCAAACACAATTATTTACATGTATTATTTCTTTCCTTTGGTTAACAGGATAAAAAACAGTGGCAGAACGCGGGATAGGACAGCATGCAAGATCAGAATTTCCTGTATGATGCTGACCTGACATCTCCCTTTATTTAGGCTTTAAAGTTTAAAATCTAGAATCTATCCACTTGGATTTAGCAACAACCACAATGCTGAGTTGACAGCCAGAATAAAGCAAGTAACCAAATGATAAGAACAGTTGACTATACATACACTACGTTTCAGTTCTTGCAGCTAGAAAAGCCTGTGCATTTCTGTGGGTCATTCCAGGTTCAAATTTATTATTCTGAAGTCTTCATCAGTTCAGTATGTGCAACAAAAGGAATGATGTCTCCCTGGTCAGTACAGGCAGCAGTGCACACCAAATAAATGAAACTGTTTTGTTTCCTCACATTAAATTATTTGCATCCAATTTAAGAAGAGCTTTACTTAACTTTCAAGTTCTTTCTGCACCACAGTAAAATAATTCTTCAAACTGGTCCTTACTCATTCTGACTAGTGAATAGAGTGACCTTGGTACACTCATGCCTTCATGGGGATTTTTGATACGAGATACCCATCAACTCTATCAAGATTTCGTGATGTGAAGGTATCATACATCCACTTTTCCACACATCTGAAGTGAGATTATTACAACTTTTCCTTATGCTGCTGAATTCAAGATGAATATAAGGGTTTGGACTGTATACTTCAGTAACAGAAAGCTCCATGCCATGCTTTAGTTAAAGGCACTCTTTAGTTACGATACTTGACTCATTGGATAAAACTCCCTACCCCACTCTGCACCTTGATATATTTTTCCACCCATCTTCTTAAAGAAAAATGGAAAACTACTAGCAGCTTGTAGCACATATTAAGATACTGAACAAAGACCAGCACACTATACTGATTTGGATGGTCAGAAAAGTGAACACACAGTACTATTGCTACTGTGAAACAAATTTTTGTGCTTGCAGTTGTATTCTAAAGAGAAAACTGTTCAACAATTTGACAGTAGTTACATTACCAGAGACAACCTCCAACTGCTCTTCATTAAAAAAAATCAGATTGGGTCACAGTGAAAGACAGCAAAAGTCATGATTTGAGGAAGCAAAGTAACTGATCGCTAAGTATGGGTTGCCTTTAACCCCCACCAAAAAATCTAAAGATAAAAGCCATACATTATGATCCTACAACAGCTGTAATAAGGCATGGGTGGTCTATTAGAAATTATGTTTTGCCTTTTTAAATTATGTTAATGAATGTCAGTAATTACAAAGAACCTATAAAGCATGAGAAATACTGTTGAATCTTCTTTAAAAAAAAGTAAAATAAAGTGCTAAGAATTTCCCTTAATACTGGTGCACCCCTACTACAAAGCATGGAAATAAATTTTGGAAGTGGAAAGTGAAATAAACTTTCACTTCTTACAGAACTCTGTTAGTATCAGTGAAGTTCCACCAGTTTTACATTGAAGTAGCACTTTGGAATATTGATACAGAATATAGCGATCTTTTTGACTAGAGATATCCTAAAGCTATTTGACAAATCAGCGTGCAAAAAAAGAAAGCTAATAAATATTACAGGCAATTTCTTAGTGAACCCTTGCAGAAGTTAATTCCCACACTGCAGAAGTAATATAGAGCATGTAGCCCAAATAGCAGCAGAATACGAATAACTTCATACTTAATCAAAATGAAAAACAGAGTTTGAATTAAATCCCTTTCCTCCTTGAGCTAGATAATTTCTGCTGACAACATGACTTGTTCCTTAAACAGAAAGGTCCTGTGAGTGGTGAAGGGAACAAGAAAACTTTTTGCTGATCTAAATCACATTGGCTGGATGTTGAAGGAAAATCCATTTAATCGATCCTCAATCCAAAGGCTTGGTTGCTCTCCCTTCAACCAAATGAAGAGCGGTTCAACTTCTACAACCACAGTTGTTTGTGTTTTCAACGCACTCACCCAGAAGGCGACACTATGTCAGCAGCTCCCAGATCTCTGCTATGCCAGACAAAGGGCAATTCTGGTGTCAGCATGGTCTGGCTCAGCTCTGGACATCATGTACTGAAGGATGTATTCAACTGCTAGTGAGGTATGTCCTGCCCTACCAGTCTCTGCTTATCTCCACAGAGGTAAAAGTAGCAGGCCAGCAAGTAGATGCTGCATGCTAGATCCATGCTAAGCATCTGGGCTACAGGATGGAGTCATTATCTGACAGAATATGGATGACGGAATCTGCGAGGCTACAAAAATTCAGGAATTCCCATACAAGCAGGTTAGAAAAGGACAGAGCATGTAGTTAAACTTAATTGTTTTTTGAACACAGAGCAAAAGGCAGAATAATGGCAATAGAACCCTGTGGACAACTAACAGGCAATTTCTCTGCTTTATACAACTTGCTCTGCTGGTGATGGCAATTAAAATAAACCAAATAAACTGAAGAGCAGTTGAAGAGCATTTTACAAGTTTTTAGACTGTACATAAGACACAAGGAGGCACTAAGAAACCCATCAGGAAAGATCTATTGCTAACATTAAGCACCTCTACCAAGAAGACAGGTTTCTACTAACAAGATTACAGTAGAAAACAAAATGATTGTGTTCATATTCACTGGATTGTGGAAACAATCATCCCAGGGAGCAAACTGATGCAGAAACTAGGCTACGCACAGGCAGCTACAGAAGTTATCATTATTTGTGTTTATTCTGTTGGGAGGGTCTGAACTCTTCCACCTTCATGACACCAGCACTGTCCAATCGCTGTCTTCTCTTCCATACTGAAAGAAACCAAAAAAGGAGTTTTAGAAGTTAAAAGTAGTAATGCACAATGATGAGGATGATGATAATTTGGGCCTCCAGGACATGAAAGACATTGAACTGTTGGAGCAGGTCTAGAAGAAGCCACAAAGATTATCAGAGAACTGGAGCACCTCTCCTATGAAGAAAGGCTGAGGGAGCTGGGCTTGTTCAGCCTAGAGAAGAGAAAGCTGTGGGAAGAACTCACTGCAGTACCTAAAAGGAGCTTATAATCAGGAACAAGACTGACTTTTCACACAGGCAGATAGTGATAGGACAAAGGGGGACTGATTTTAAACACAAAGAAGGAAAGTTCAGATTAGAACTTAGGAGGAAATTCTTTACTCAGAGAGGGCTCTGGCACAGGCTGCCAGAGAAGCTGTGGATGCCCCATCCCCAGAAGTACTCAAGGTCAGGTTGGACGGGGCCCTGGGCAGCCTGAGCTGTTGGATGGCAGCCCGGCCCACAGCAAGGAGTTGGAATTGGGTGGGTCTCTTCCCTCCAAGCCATTCCATGATTCTGTGAACTTCTTAAATCTACTTTCAGAAAGATCCAAACCCACCACCCTAATAGTTTACACTATTTTGTATGCCTTCCGCCTTTTATTTCAGAAAAGCTTAAAGGTACCTTGCAGCTTTATACATCTTCCAATGCGTGAAGCAGAAATACACAACTAGAGATGATAGAGAATAGTCCTGCTTTGTTAAAGCTTTCTATCAATTTAATACAGTTATTCCCAGAGGTCAGTTCACTAATTTATTCTTAACTATGCCCCCAGCTCAAGCTCCAGTAAACAGACACATTTGTTTTTTCTTTCTTTCTATTTTTAAGGTGGCTTTTTATTACATTCTGACTGAATGTGAAATAAAACCGATCACAAATACCACAGAGTGCAGTTAGAGAGAATTGCAACCCAAATAAAACAAGTTGTCTTCCCATATACCAGGCAGAATAGAATACTACATGAAGCTGTTTCACTTCCATGGAAGGATGCAGTCCCAAGGAAGCACTTTGAATCATAGAACTGGCTTTGTGTTCTAAAGCTCTTCGTCACCAGTCCTACACACAACACTCCAGAGAGCCCCAAAAATGCACATATGGCTCATGTCTTTGAGTAAAGCAGAGGTGGACAGACTAGTGGCAGACGTAGGTTGGGAGCCCTTCACCTTTTATAGTGCCATGTTCAGTGAGCTTGAAAACACTTCCAAGCAAAGAATGAAGTACTGCTTCTAAAGGCTTCATGTAAGCTGAAAATACCACTTGATGATAATCCCTCCAAGCAAGAACAAGAGGAATTTCCTTCGAATCCATGTTACGTATCAACAGGAAAGGAGATAAAAGGCATATTAGAGCAGACAAAGGAGAACATCTCCAAATCAAAACGAGTCAGAAAAAAACAATTCTAGATCCACAAAGAAATGACATTCAGCTTACTTGTGTTTTATTCTTTAGTCCAGCAAGTAAACCTTCTATAAGACCTCTGCATGTATCATATCTACTTCTTCTTTACATCACTAATAATACTTTTCTAGTTTTGCAGTTTGTGATGCAGTTGATTAAACACGGCTATGGTGCTACTGAGGACCTTATTTAAAATTACTTGCTGAAAGGATCACCAGCTTATGTTCCCAGGTAACAGTGTGGTAGCCCTGTGAACTGTACTTAAGAAGAAGTAGACGTATCACTAGTTTAACCACAAAGCACTCCATTATCCTAATGTGAGGCAATTTTGATGTGGATGACAGTAAATGGAGAAAAAAAAGAGATGTCTTTGACCTTCACAACACTCCTTCTCAGTCACTCTCCTAGCCCTCATAAATCAGAAAGCAGAGAAAGGCTAGCAGATTACTTGGAAGTTTTGATAGCTTTAGGTACTACCATATCTTGCTCTGATGAAAATTTCAGAAATTGCAAGGGGTGGTCTAAATTGCCATTTGACAACAGTTTGAACACAATTCCAGAATGAAAGAGAGAATGAAGATGCTCAGATCACTGTCAAGATGCTTTCATTTTCAAAACAAAAGAAGATTTAATTTCCTTTTCTGATGCTGTCAAAGATAGAAATTAACACATCCATAACTCTTTGGCTGTTTCCCTCTGGCCTATCCATTTAGATGATGCAACTTGAAAAAGATTATGTTTTTTAACTAAATCTTACTTCACTGCTATGTTTGACTATGGTGTTTAATTGCATTATATCTCACAGTAGTATAAACAGTACACTTTATCTTCTCTCCACTCCTTCCAAGTTATATCATGATCTCTGCTTTAAAGACTACACAGAACATTTGTTTATTCTCAAAGTATGGAATGCAAAATCACAAAAACACTGGATTGGTACTTCAGTGAGTTTATTCCTAGAGAAAAGAATCTCATCTCTACATCTTCTAACTCAACCAGTTGCAGAAGACAGTGTTCTGCGACAAAATCATTTATAAACACACTATTACTGCAGACAATGTAATCATTTAATCCAAAATCTTTTATCAGCCTAAGTAATCACTATTTCCACTTGATGACAGGAAAGTAAATGTATATCACAGTATGACTACTGTCTCTCTCAACTGGCATGAGAAATGAAATCAGTTCTGCCCATGAGTTTCTAATTTGTCACTCTAGCTCTAGTTCCCACTGAACAGCTGTGCATATCCAGAGAAATCCTGTTGAACATGGGAGACTTACAAATGAACAATGAGCAGCACGAAAACAGACTTAAAAACACAATAATTGAGATTATCTGAAAATGTTGAACAAGCATGCATTGTATACAAGAGCATCAGTAAAATGACACTGGATATGGATTCCTGCACCTCCTGGCCATTTGCAAATGCACGACAGTGTTGGTACTGATAGTTAGCACTGTCTGACAAATGCCCATTGTCCAACATGAAATGGACACTTTGCCTTAGTTTAGGCAAGACAATGGTACAGAGACCAAAGTTCTGTCTGGCTGTAATTTCCATGGTATTTTATTTTTCTGAACCTGCACATTCTTTGGAATAAGAGCCAAATGATATCACAATAGTCCCGTGATGCCGCAAGGAGATTTTTGTTTCCCCCTTCCTGGTGGAATATATAAAATATCTTTCACAAGAATCCTGAAAAATCTCTTGAGATTTTAGGAATATGATATACTCCATTCTGTGTGTTACAGAAATGTTTTCTGAATGAGAATCTGAGGTCCACTTGGATATAATTAATCTCTTCACAAATAGGGAAGTGCAGATATGTAACCAGCAAATACTGATCGACTCTTAGAGGGAAGCAGCTGTGATTCCCTTTAAAACAAAGTTTCTAACAATGAAGTGTTCAGATTCTCCTCAGCTTTTTAAAGAAGCAGACACAGAAATACAAGTATATCTCTGTATGTAACAACCCAGCAGATTTCAGGAGTGATCGATTTACTGTTCACCTGCAACTAATGAACACATGTAAATACACTCAATTTTGCATGCACAGCTATAAGGTATAAAGACCTAAGGAACATAATGGTTAGAAGCAATATACACTGCAGCCTCCTCCTGAATCTTGAGGGAAGGCGGGACACGTGTGGGAAGAGGAGTAGAGAAGGAAGGCAGCCTCTGGGAACAGGCTGCATAAATATGTCTTGATAGACATATTTATGTCTACACTCACTATCTATTGGCCAAGGGAGAAAGACCCACATTCCAGTGCAGTCTCACAAAACAATTCCGGATTTTCAAAAGCCATTTTTCTACTGAAGGCACTTACTAGTCTTGTAATACAAACAGTACCTAGCCTGTCACATAAGACATCCAAGAACGTGCTAGTACTGACTTCAACTCTTTTTGATGCTGAGCGGTTTCAGGACTGCAATTAGAAATATTTCTGTGGTGATTCAAACTAACCATGCATTGCTCAAGGCCCTAACACAGATTTCAGAAGCATCACTTAGACATCAGAAGGTAACACAAGAGTTAGTGCTTTTAAAGATATATTCTTGACATGCTAACGAAGATGTCTTTAACACAGAGCACAGCACTATGGAAACAGTGATTGCTTTGTATCACAGTGAAAAGTATACTGACAGAACTGGTAGATAGCCTATCCTTGACATAAAACTGGACAAATGACAATACATAAAGCGATGGACATCAACAGAGATTTTAGATGTGATGTATCTGGCACTTGGGGATAAGAAAGAGGAAACAGAACTGTGGTACATATGGGATTCTAGAGCATAACTATTATGTATCTCATGTAGTAAGATGATAACATTTCACGTAATTTACCCTGGAACATGAAGTACTAAGCCCTCCCCTCAACAAATAATAAAAGTTAGAACCAAAGATCTCTATGTTTTTTCCTAGAGAAAGATCCAGATCTCAAGCCACTAAGTCAGCACAGCTGAAAGACGAATGTGCAGGAGTAGTGCTGCTTTCTGCCTCTGTGAAAGTTGACTCAGCCACCAACACAAAGGTAACAGAAGAACATTAAGACTCATTTTCTCCCTGAGTTGCAGCCTGTAATGTCCAATATTATCCTAAGGAATAAGGGACACTGATCTTGTCTTATCCTCCTAGTGAAGAACAGTCAGCTGGTCTTGCTGCATAATTTGAGTTACCAGTATTAGGAAAAAAAGTATTATATGAGTTAAAATATGGTTGTGCTGGAGACCAACACTTATGAATGTTAAAAATATGTAGAAATGCAAAATATGTAGAACCACAGAATCATTAAGGTTGGAAAAGGCCTCTGAGATCACCAAGTCCAACCATTCACCTACTGCCAATACTGCCCAGTAAACCATGTTCCTTAGTACCACATCTGTACGTTTTTTGAACATCAGCCTGAACTCTCAGTAGAAGGTAATAATCAGAGGGTGGAACCAGACCAGGAAGTCGAGCTGAGACTTATTTCCATTCCTCCCCATCTCTTCATCTCCTTCCTGTTTGACGGTAACAGGGTGTACAGACTGGGAGAACTAATTGAGAGCAGCCCTGAGAAGGACTTGGGGGTCCTGGAGGTTGAAAAGCTGGACATGAACCAACAGTGTGCACCTGTAGTCCAGAAGGCCAACTGTAACCTGGACTGCATCAACATAGGGCGGCCAGCAAGGAGAGGGAGGTGTTTGTCCCCCCCTGCTCTCTTTTTGCGAGGTCCCATCTGGAGGACTGGATCCAGGCCTGGGGCACTCAGCACAAGAAAGACATGGTGGAGCTGCTGAAGTGGGTCCACAGGAGGTCACAAAGACTATTGGAGGGCTGGAGCACCTCACTTATGAAGAAAGACTGAGGGAGCTGGGCTTGTTCGGCTTGGAGAAGAGAAGGCTCTGGGGAGACCCAACCGTGGCCTTCCAGTACCTAAAAGGAGCTTAGAAATAGGAGGCAGACAGACTCTTTACATAGTCTGATAATGACAGGGTAAGGGGGAAAGGTTTTAAACTAAAAAAGGAGAGATTGAGATTTAGATATCGCCATTCAGAGAGTGCTGTGGCACTGGCACGTGCTGCCCAGAAAAGTTATGGATGCCCCATCCTCGGAGGTGTTCAAGATCAGGTTGGATGCGGCCCTGGGCAACAACCTTTGTCCAGTTTAGTGATTGACAAACCTGCCCACAAGCAGGGAGATTGGAACTAGGTGGTCTTTAAGGTTCCTTCCACCTACATCATTCTATGATTCTATGATGAGGAAGACAGTATTGTGCCTACTGAATGCTTTTGTTTATCGTTATTGATTAGCCCACATTCATTTATGGTTGTGGTTATAATAACATTTCATCTATTTATTTATTTATTTCCCTTAAAAAGAAACTTTAACAGCGTTATCCACTTTGGAAGATGAACAAGGAAAAAATCTGCGTCATATTTTTTCAAGATAATGAAAAAAATGGATAGAATAACCACACCAAGCAAAGACATAATACAATGTCTACAGAAACATTAAAAAAAAATACTTATTTTCAAGGTTTCAAGGTTTTCACATTGTCACCATTTACTATTTTATCTGGTTAAAGAAGATGAAATATCTTACCTGGATATCAGTCAGCTTATTCAGGATTCGGGTGGTTAACTGAGGCCCATTTTCCATAGTTGGAATGTGCAAATGCTGACATTGAATGAAGGAGAGGGGGTCAGGGGGAGTGGGGATGAAAAGAGAGAGAGAGAGCAAGAGAGAGAAAGAAAGAGAGAGACAGAGAGATGAACTAACATAGAACTTTATATACACATAAATACCTTAGAGGCAACAGGGATTTTAGTAAGTATTTATCAAGTTTTCTAGTCCTCCTTACAAGTTTGTTGTAATGATTTTATAGGAGAGCATGCTCAGTCAGTGAAAAGTTAAATTAGTTGTACTGTTTTGCTGCTTTCAAACAAAGGCCAATACAAGCTTTCCAAAAGATCTGTCCAAAATGGACAATAAATTGTACAAGCTGGAGCAGAACTCCTATACATAGTATTTCATTTCAGACTATATTGTGCAGAAATGCAACAAGTACATTTATAGTTGATAAGATTAGCACTTGGATGTCTTTCAAATTATCTTAGCACATAATATCAGTACATTCATTCCATCTTATTAATTCAAGAATTATCACTTTACATAGTTTTGCTGTACATGTCATATTTGATGCAACAAAGCACCTATGTATCCATCTGAAATTCTCCAGGCTTATGAATTAATTTTGTGCTGATTTAATAGCATCAACTCTGCCTAACAGGCTAAAGAAATGCCTGTGAACTTTCATCTCTACAGGAGAAATCTCCCATATGGTGCACAATACGTAGAAGCAGATGTCCGTTCTCCTGACACAACTCCTGTACCACAGCTGGATTCCCTGCATTGAGGGGCGAAAAACAGATATATCTAAGGAAGAATGAATGCAGTGGCTCAGAAATTTGGCTCCACACAGAAGTCTTTCTCCTCTTACCTATTCTAGAAGCCTTGTATTTTTGAAAAAAACTTTCAACAAAAGAAAGGTAGAAAAATTTATTTTTCTGTATTTCGCATCAGACTGGGAACTATTACACACATTTTCAGGAACTGAGATTCTGTGACTTTGCTTAGTTATAAGCAGGAAAAAAAACACAAAAAAAGATCAGAAGATGAGAGGGAGTCTTCTCTTCTGACAACACACCAGCAACTCACTTAGCAAACAACATACTTGTGCCTTCCCACAATCCTCAGACAGTACTGCTTTTCTATCTCACCTGTATGGTGGTTTTTGCTGTTATTGCTGTTTGTCTGTCTGTTTTTCCAGCAGAAGACAATTATGAGAAAAATTCTAGAGATGAAAGGAAAGTGATATTATCTTACCTTGCCTTTATACAAAATTTTGGAGATAGGACATACAATGCAAGCTGTTCCAGCCCCAAACATCTCCTTCACTCTGTTCTCTTCCAAGGCAGCTGTCAGGTCACTCATAGTGATGTAACGCTCAGACACTTTAAATTCTCCCTGCACAAGAAGAATCAAAAAAAAAAAAAAAACACCCAAAAACTTAAATGTTTAAAAAATAAACATATTTTTGTTTGTTTCTCATTGTTGAAATATCTCTAACAGAACTATCTAGTATTTTTATGTAGCCCGATTGCAATCAGTCAAATTTTGGCTGTGATCTTCTGATCTTTTCAAACCTCACAGTATCATTCAAGATAGACTAATGAAAAAATGGCCTTCAAGAAAGGCAATGGTTTGCTAGGTACAGTGCTGATGATTAAGCAGCACTTTCCACTGACTTGATACAGAATATCAATACTGTATTAGGGAATAATACAGCTTAATTTGTCATGGATTACATCACACAGGACCTGACAACTTCTGATCTCAAACATTGTGAGGTTTGACTCGGTTTTGTGTAAGCACTTGGCATTATCCTCTTGGACAATTCCTAAGCAAAATACATTTTTAAATTCTACCTGTAATGCCAACTAGATGCATGCTTGTATGCAGCTGTCATCCACAAAAATTAACTGTATAGCAGGTATTAGTAAAGCAATTCATGTGGGACACAGTCTCCAGAAAGGAAATGTTTTGCTTTCTGTAAGTGCTGAAGAATGAATAGAAACTTACTGATGGGAAGCTTTTAAAGAACAATAATAAACACTGAACTTTCAATTTCATGATTTTATTTAGACTTCATTGTCCTACCAGGCCAAACTAAAGCTTAGCCCCTGCTTTACATGCATGCTTTTAAATATGGAACAGAGGTGCTTAAGAGAACAAAAAAATATTATTAGTGCTGGATAGAAGAGCATTTGGAGAGAAGGGCTGGGACACCAGACAGCATGTAAGAAGGGTCTCAGGTAGGTGAGGAAATGCAAGTCAGGAAGAAAGTAGAAAAACAAGGAGACAAGAAACTATTCAAGAGTTCTAGCAACTGGGAACAACTGTCTATCTTGTAAGGAGACATGACTGAGAATTGCATATGCATATCTACACTAGGTTTATTCCAGACTGCAGGAGTACTATTAAGAGTAAAGATGCATAACAGTTCAATGCAGATGAACAAGTGGAAAATGTACCTACCCTGTGCAGCATAGGCACTGGAATGGGCTGCAGGCACTGGAATGAGCTGCCCATGGAGGTGGTGGAGTCACCAACTCTGAAGGTGCTTAAGAAATGTCTGGACGTTGTGTTGAGGGATATGGTTTAGTGAGAACTGTTGGTAATGGGTGATCCTGTGGGTTTTTTCCAACCTTAGTGATTCCATGTATGTCTGTGTATTCTATGCTTAACTCTCTTCATTATGAGTTGGACTTAAATGACTTAACTATGAACTGTGTTTCAGGAAGTCCTTCAGCTTACATGTGGTTGGAAGCTTAGAAAATACCAGAGCAAAGTATCACAACATGCCTTATTCCTGTTATTCTTTCCCGAACACAACTTTGAATGAAACCACGAGAAATTAGTGGAGATACAGGGTGCTGATGAATAAAATACAGCTGTGATCATACATGGTAACCATTTATATCCTTGCTTTATGTTAGTGGTGATAGTAGACTTAAGGAGAAAGTTCATGTTAAATACTATACAGAGCTAACAAGTTCAGTATTGTTCCATGTGATAGATAGAACTTTTGGATAAAGAGCAGCAGGAATGCTTACTTCAGTAGATTTTACGAGAGTTGAAACCACTACTGGCATGGCCAAAGCACTCACCCAGCTGCATGCCAAATCCAAAATGCTTTGTCTTGTCACTCCTGGAAGGATGATCCCATCTAAAGGTGGAGTTGCCAGTTCATGTTCTGTTACGTACAAGAGAAATAAAGCAAAATAAACAACAACAGCAAAAAATAAAAACTAAAATCTTAACTCTGTCATATGAAAAATTCTCAGAATTCTATATGAACACAAATCGCACAAATTCAGCTACAGTAAGTTGTTGAGTGTTTGGAACCTTTCAAATATACCTGACTGGATGGTGAAGAAATATATTTAATTAATTAATAAATACATGGCTAAAGCCTGGTAGCAAAATTTATTCCTCAGTGTATTATGGATTCACTGTGCAGTTAGCCGAACAGCTCAGTCTTCAAATTCAGACTACAGAGACACAAAAGAAAGTCATACTTAATAATGCCAGGGCAGATGACAACTCCCTCTGAACTGCTTTACTTTATTTAGGTACATGGGGTTCAGTATTTCTACTTCCAAACATTGAAATGAAACATTTGCAGGGAATTTTGAGGCTTATTTACTGAACTAGCAAATCAGTAAAAACTTTGGTAAATGCTTCTTGAGAAGACACCTTAATGATCTTTCCTCTTGGTCTAGATGTCTTTTTTTTTCTCCTAATTTTGTCTTTACTCAAAAAGAGCAGTCCCAATAAAATTCCAAAATCACCAACAACTAAAACTGTTCAGCTAGTTTGGTTTGTTAGCTTGTTTTTGCTTTCAAGAAAAAGAGCATTACATAAATGTTGACCCAACACTTACTAATTACTAGCAGTAATATACAGTGATCCATACTTGGTAAATACTTAAATTCACAGTCTTTCAGTAATTCTCTTCATAATTTTTTTTCTAACCATTTTTCTTCCCAATAAGAATCCACTATCTTTTTTATTCTCTTACAGGTATTAAGCTCTTTATAGAATTTACAAGCCATGAAGGCTTTTTACATCACCTAGGTGAGATCAAATCAAAGAAGATATGCATCTTCATGTTGCCATTATGACCCTTACTCCTCCCAACAAACAATCTTTGAATCCAGGCTGTTTGAACCAAGACTGAAGAAGCAGCAGTCTTAAAAAATGTCTGTAGGTCGGGAAAATGAGAAGGAAGAAACATCCTCGCACTGAGAGAGACCAAGTTGAACTTAGCAGCTGAGGACTCTGTTTTCTACTGTCAGGTAGATAATCTGCACAAACGCTGCCTGGCAGCCACTGGCAGATTAAAGGCAACTACAGCATGGGCTCTCTCCTTCTCAAGACTTCAGGATCTGGGGTGAAATAGGAGAAACAAAGGATAATAAATACAATTGTTCACTGAATTTGTTACTTACTGTGCAATCTCTTGGAAATATCTGTTAGTTTTAATGCAACTAGTCATGGATTTATTATAACTACAAGATTCTCTGACCTATGTTTCCACGTCCCTTATATGCACACATGTAATAAACAAATTATCATGCCAAAATGTCTAAGTGAGCTGCTCTAAAAAGAGCTATATATTCTACTCCGGTTTGACTCACCAATAGTGTCATTCTCCAGCCTATCCCAAATTCCTAAATATAGCAGCTGTCTCTTATTTACCACACAGTCAAGAGCAACACAAAGTTCTTCACTCCTAATCACAATGCCTATCAGGTCCTATTTTGACACAGCTATCAAGTGAAGAAGACATTTAAAACTCTCAGTGAGACACAGGCCTCAGTTCTGAACCCTAGAAAGCTGATGCTCTGCAGCTCACCAGCTATGGACTCTGCAGACACAGCCACGTGAGTATTCCTCTAGCAAAAAGCTTAAAATAGCATGGACCGTAATGCCAAAGTTTGTACCTACACACCTGAAAACATTCTGTTTGTGGTGACTTTGCCACAAATCTTAGCCTGTTTAAGCTCAACAATATATATTCAGTGATATGAGCTATTTTGAAAAGATGCCAGGACAAACTAGCCCCTAAACAGCACTGAGCAGACAGGATGCAGGAGTCTTAATGTTTCAGATAGTCTGCTCTGCCTAATTTTGTCAAGCCTACATATGATGCCTACCAGCCTGGGGCCACGCAAGGAACATCTGCTCCCCCTGGTACCCAGCAGAGATAATAATACTAAACAACATCTCATGCCAAAAAGCTCGTTCTCTCTGTGAATTGATGCCAAAGCAGTCTCCATATGACATCAGATTGTCCATCTCCAGGAAAACAGACTGTGAGCTCACAGGCTCAATTCGCCTTCTGAGTTATTTTGATGGGCTAAACGCCTAAAAAATTATAGCAACAAGAAAAGGGAAAAAAGGCATCTGAAGGAAAACGCTGAGGTTTCTCTTCATTTGACTACTGTTATTACTCATTATAGTATCACAAGTAATAGCACTTTTCAGCCTGGTGTCCCATTGCACCAGGTAGGGTATAGGCATGCGTATGGGAACTGTTGTGTCATGGCCTGAACCACTGATTGAGCGCTGGGGAAAGGACCTGGTCAGCCCAGGGAGCACAGATGAAGGCAATTCCGCTGTGTGACCAGAAGGGGTGGAGCCTGGCTGCACCTCTCTTAGAACTCATTTAAGGACTGACTGCCACTGGGGAAGGTTCTCTTTCTGGTGATCCTTCTCTGGTGCAGCTTTCCTCTGCAAACCTGGAATCTTCTGATATGAATAAGCAATCTTTTTCCCTTCCCTTACAGCAACTTTCTATCATATCAATCCTCCTGTCATATTGATGTGCCCAATTACTACAGAATGCCATAACTAAGAAACTCCCTCAGAGGGCTTAAAGGTACTTTTAAAATGAAGACTTCCATTTTACAAAGCTTCCATTTTTATACACTTTCATTTATGAACATATGAGACAATATGATTTCAGTACTAGTCATACCATAACAATGCAGAGAAATATACTATAGTTTACCAAAATCGTAACAGATACCATGTGATCTTCAGGGTCAAAGAGAACCCAGGAAACCCTAATTTCACTATTACAAATGGCTGATTTCTGTTCCCAATTTGTTCTGGCCCTTTCTATTTCTGTCTCCTCCTTGTTTTTCCCTTGGGCTTTTCTTCTACTCTCCCCTCATGAAATCACTTCATCTTTGCTTCTCAGCTGATTTACATTCTTCAATTACTTTTCCTTCCTTTTCTCTGTCTAGCACCTTGATCAAGCTGCTCTCTCCACTATGCTTTTGCTATGAGCTTCTAATGCAGCAGAAGGCACAATAATTACCTTCTTTATAGCCTACCTGATAACGGGAATAGGTTGCCCAGAGAGCTGGTGGATTCCCCATCCTTAGAGACATTCAAGGACAGGCTGGACAGGACTCTGTGCAAGCTGACTGAGCTTTAGGTGTCCCTGCTCACTGCAAGGGAGTTGGTCTAAAGGACATTTCAGTGTCCCTTCCAACTCAAAAAATTATATGATTCTAACACGTTCATGCAGTAGAAATAATCCTTTAACTACTAAACATAAAAATCAAGTTGCCTGGTATTTTAACTGAATGTACTAGAGAATTCTTTAGAAAGTTTAACTTAATGTGTGCTATTTTGAAGTGAGCACTGTTTCTCCCAATTTTAATAACAGCACAAGAACATTAAATAATACTTGAATGCTATTTACGTCTTATCAGTAAAGCTAGAAGTAGAGCCCAGACGGTTCCAAATCATTCTTAAGAAATTCAATTTTGGGAAAATGCAGAACTTTTCTAATTAGCAACCTTCAGGTTAGACATATATTTAAATTCTACATTTTTTTCACAAAGTCAAGCCTAAATTCTAGGCAGAAAAACTGATATTAAAGGAAACAGGAGTTTCAATGTCGACAGCTTCTTGGGATTGTTATGTGCTCTGAAAAGGCAGGTGGAAAGCAGGGTTGGGTGACTAAAATTTTCATTTTGTGAGCCTAAACTGTAAACAGTCATTGATGAATGGAATATCATGCTCCTTTATTTATGAAACAGTAGAAAGCCTCAGCCAGAGGAGCAGTGGGCATATAAGTAGCACAGAGCATGGCATAGAATTTTACAAGAAATTGAGTAATTTCCTCCAACTACCTCCACGATGTTATAAATGAGACTTTTTTTTCAGGTTCCTCTGTTGTTTTGTCTGCTGTCACTGGAAGTATAGACGTTCCTTAGTTTGGACTTTACTGAGTTAGAAACTTAGTTTGTTACAACACCACATAGAGCACATTCAGACTATCCTGCAGTGACCCTTGAACACACAAACAAGAACATTTTCCTTTTGATGATCATTTGCAATTTCTGCCTCGCTATTTTTGTGTTAGATCACTCTCTCAGCTGCAGAATTTGCATAACAAAACAAATGCACTGCCTAAGTATCTGTTGCAAAGTAAGAGAAAATGATAGCAAATGCTCTTTAAATCACAATGCAAGGCTATAAGCAGGTATATGATGGCACACATTGTCAGCAGGAATGATTTTTCAATCAAAGATATCACAAATTAAGCATTAGTCACCACACTGAAAGACTGCAAAGTGCTCCAACAATGCTAATGACCATGTCCTGTGAAATGGCAGGTTTGCCAGTATACAGTTAGCTTGGGTGGCATGAATTACAAGTTGTTTGTTACAGCCATCTCACAATGGCACTATTCAGTTGTACACTGGTAACACAGTGATTGGCAGATCTTTGGAAAAGAACGGTGCTGCAGCTGGGTAATTCCAGCATATTCCTGGTTTAAGTACAATAAGAACACTGAATTCTAATCATGTACCCCCTTCACTGTCCTTTCCCTGGCTAGAATGAGCCAGAATCTATTTTCATGTCTCTCTAGCAAAGTTACACAAGGCATCTAAATACACTGACAAGTCCACTGCTGCTGTAACAACAAGATTTCTCATATTTAAAGTTTCATTCACAAGACTTCACAGGCTCATTCAGCATGGAGGGAACATAATTTCTCTTCTTAAAGAAATGCTAAAGATTTTGTAGAAGAACAAGAAAAGAAACTGGGCATGAGAGTCAGGTAGCAGTATTCCCATGAGCACAGTCAGAAAAGCGTCAATTTTCAAAGCTAGCCATGGCACTCTGGCTAAATCAGAAATTAAACTCTGCATATGGTGCCATGCAAAAATTAGCAATTTTCATGGAAGGCAACAACTCATAAAAGTCAGGAGGCATCCTTCCATTCACTACCAGATAAACTGGCTCAGTTCTCCAAATACTCAAACTCATGTAGTCTTCTGAACCAGCACTTCTGAACCACTGTGGGTGTTTCTGAGATGCTGAACTCTGAGACACCAAAATAAATGGCTCTTCATTAACTAGATAGTTTTCTAAGCAACATGTACAACACTCACAGGTGACTGGGGATGCAAAAAGGTAAAAATATATTTAAGAATGATAGCATATCTTCAAAGTATCAACAGAACACTAGTGATGTGGAATGCTGATTGATATATTTCTGTCTGCCTCCACTAGATTTCAAATTCTTCAAAGAAAGAGCTTACTGCTTTATCAGTCAGATGCTGAAGCACTTTTGGTCATGCTTCAGGAACATATCGCTTGCTGGAAAGTGACAGTGGGAACCATTTATGTGAAAGGGACAGGATCTGGAGAGTTGCACAACCATAAGGCACCTTTAGCACGGCTGCATTGTTTCTGACACAACACCAAGATGAAACATCATCTAAAATTGACAGTGAATTGCAGTGTGATCCTTTGTATGACTACACCCTGAACATGTGGACTGCTTCAGCAGATTAGTATGTTATCAACATGCTTTGCTCACAGCTGCTTTGAGGTCATCTCTTTCATAATGGTATGATTAACAGTTATCTACCAGTTTTCAGAACAGAATAAACATTCATTTTGTTAAGACATTTTCATTAAAAGTTTTATGATCTGCACTCGTAACCATCATTTCATGAATTACGGGAGAAGGTAACTATCCCACTACCACAAAAAATATTTGTGACAGTATTTGTGGGGTCAAATCCGCTTCTAGAATCCTTGTACACATAGTATGAATAACTGCACTCTTGTCCCAACTGTCTATTCTATTAGAGTTTTCATTTTGTGTGTTACTGTACCTCCATCCTCATTTATCCAGTAGAGAAATAGATTCATTGTTCCAACTTCAGTTATTTGGTGATCTTCTCCATACAGCCACAGAACCTGCTGGCAGCCTAACTCCAGGGCTTCTTGCTGAGCACAAATAGAAGAACCATAATTCCTTTCAGAAACAAAAAGAAAGAGCAAACAGATAATGAGTGTCTGGATGAGTATTTGTTTATTTCTATGGATGGTTCAGTACACATGTCCTTTATGAGCAAGTGCTCTGCTTAATCACTGCTTCTCCCTGAGATACTTTATTGGAAGTACTTTCCTGGTATTTTACTAAATCATTTTGCATCTACAAGTCAAAAACTGTGAAGAGCTAAGCAGCATCAACAGTTGAAACACACTCATTCAAATTTTCTCAAAAACAAATCTTTATCCATTTTCTGGATGCTTCAGTCATTGCAAGAAGATAGCTTAGCAAATAATGTATCCTTATGTAGCAGTTGGGATCCTGGAGAGAGAACAATTTCCATCCAGCTCATGTTTTTGAAAAAGCAAAACTCAAACTATCCACCTCATCTAACATGTCAGGTGAACAGATGGGTAGTTAGATCTCTTGGAATACAGAATCTTCAAAGGTGAGCTGTTTCCTGTCTAGTAAAAGACATTTACTGAACTAGTAGCTCCAGAAGCTATAGACTGGACTTGATGAATTCTATCCTGGAGGGGCAAATGTTTTTGTAAAATGCTGTCTACCTGGTGAACCTGACTTCATAATTACTGTTTACCCTGTACCTGCTCTAAAGGGGAAAAAAACACAAACCCTATCACTTCTGATCTTCAATGGCTATCACAAGCTCAAGACAGCAGCTCTGAAGTTCTGACTGCTCTTGAATTCACATCTCACCTGCGGGCTACAACTGCAAATCAAGTCAGCAGTGATTCCAGAGTATTCCCATTGTAAACAGCTGATAAAATAGTGTACAGGAAATAATACATTTCCGAAACAAAACAAAACCCCACAAGTAGACATTAAAAATCTCAAAACATCAGAATGAATGTAAAGGAAAGCAATTTTCTTGCCACTTGGTTATTCTACTAGCTCAGCTAGGCAGCATTTGACAAACTAACATCTTGCCTAGAAAGAAACCTCTTGGGAAGGTAATAGAATCTCTGTTTAAACCGATGACCAAGTATACATAATGAAATCACTTTACCTAACAACATCCAAGTTGCTTGCTCTGGTCAGGTCCTAAGCAGCTTCATTCAGACAACTCAAGTACCTGGACAGTAACCACTATGTAAGTGGTGCTTTGGCTTAGTTCAGCAGAAAACTGCCAGACCATGGTCACGTACACACAGATAATTGTCTCCTGATTTTCCACAGACACTTGTATACCCCCAGCTTACTGCAGATGGCTTGTCAAAGACACTCTGCTAAGGCAGAAGTTCAACCAGCTGGCAGCAGGTTGCTATACTGAATGCTGTGTCACAGAAGTTGTATCTGCAGTGTCAACTTCTGCAAGGGAAGCAGTCAGAGTATTGCATGGACATTTTCCAGGCGCAATTTCTCAACTTGAGGTGATGTATAATTCTCTCTCCAAAAAGTCCAGAGAAAAAACATGCAATTGAATTGTGTAAGAAGTATTAAGAAAATACAGTTTTGAAATGCTTGTCATAGTACGTTATTTGCTTAACTACTATATCTAATACCTCTATTTTTGCTGGCTTAGATTAAAAACTAAAAAAATGATCTCTTTTTTTGAAGTATATGAAGATTCCACACAAATGCAGTATCAGGTTTACTTACCCTCCCAGTTTGCAATCTCCTGTTCCTCCTTTCCAGGCTCTTACATATTTCGGATCTGCCCATAATGATATTGGATCAAAGCATTCACTTGAAAAGTAAGCACCCACAGGACTCAGTATGACATACAGTAGGGCTTTAGTTGGCTTCTTCACTCCAAGAGATGGCTAAAAATAAGGAATATAAGCAAGGCAAGTTACTGGAGAACTTTGCTCCAAACATCAGATGATGTATAATTAGCTTTGGAAACACTTTCAGTGAACCACAACAGGGAGTGCTTTTACCAGAACAACGCAAAGTTCTGCAATGAAGAGGAAATACTTACCTAAATTCCTTCCCAGTCGAAGTAATATACACCTAATTTTACATGCTGAGAATTCCATTCTCTTATTCCATTCACTTATGGCTTTTTTACTTATTTATATATTAATCTTGAAGCTATTTAAGAATTCAGAAATTACCTCAAAAAACCACTTGTAATTCTATGAATTAATCAAAGTAGTGACATGTGAAGCCATGTGAGGACAGATGGAAGGACCACCACTAGCAATAACAACAATGGAGAAACCACAGTCAGTATTAGTGACAAGAATTAGCCAATGCCTATTAGAACTGGAACTGCTGGAGAGTCAAGTGATGTCTCTGTGCAGAGTGACAGCCTAAAATGATTTGTCTGTTGTAAATGGTTCACACAGGACAGGAAATAACCTGTTTCCTGCGCCCCCTCTGATGGCTTCTCACACTTGAGGTCATCATCAGCAACATTTAAAGATGAAAGTGAAAAGTCTGACATAGGTCAAAGTCAAAATTCTCTTTAGCTGTGTGATTCTTAGCAAAGCTCTAGATCATGTATCTAATCCACTTAATTTTCTATTCTTGTTGCAGATTATACAAAAAAAAAAAAAAAAAAAAAAAGTTTTGCTACTTACTGACTACAAAATGGTTTAGGTTGGAGTGAACCTGTGGAGGTTCTGCACTACAAGCAATTCATGGGTTACTGTATGCAGCTAAATGGGCTACTTACTATTTTCTCTCCTCTCATAGGAACTAGTCCACTGAAAACTACAAGCTCATCTTTGGTTTCTTAGGTTAGATCTCCACTAAAACAAAAAATGTTATTTAACAGGACCAAAACTCTAAGCAAATATTCTGCACAAAGTACATGAAGCTAGTCTGGGAGGTGAAATAATAGTGTAAACATGGAACTACTGGAAAATTCAAATAAGCCTTCCTCAGTTGTAGAGAGGGTGCTTTTGATTTCTGTCCAACTTACTCTTCCAGCAAAAGTTTTAACAAGACAAATATTAAACAATGGAGAACTGCCTCATTCTAATGCAACTATTCAGTAGCTGTAACGATTAGTTTTCCTAGCTGGGTTAATCTGAAAAATATTTAGCGAAGTATTTCAACTCAAAGACAACATGACACTGTAGAAAGACCAGTTGGCTAAACTGAAAGAAAGCTCAACAGCAAAAGAACTTCCAAAACAAAACAGGAAAAAAAAAAAAATAACATTAATACTTTACACAGTTGCTGAATGGTGATCTATGTGAAAATTTGCAACTACTTTACAGAGATTAAACTAATGAAGTCTTAAAGCACGTGTGAAATGCATAATGCTAAAGTAGGCTAGCCGTGTATAGATACAGATATCGCAGAGGAGTGACCTGCTTAACTGGGAATCATATATTCTTTAGTAGCTTTGTCCTACACTCTTCTGTTATAGCTTTCTCTCTTTCTACTAAGAAAAACCGTAAAGTTTTAACTAAAATAAATTGTTTCTAATTAACTTCATAAATACCACACGCTTCACTTATATTCACATGCAGCTCACAGAGCACGTGCTAATATCAAGCTGATAAGATGTCTCAGCTAAAGTCTGGATTCAAGAACAAATTAACACTGTTAGTTCTGCTACGAGTTTCTTGTAGAAGAATCATAATTTAGCGTATAAAATCTTCCAAAACTCTACAGAGCAAATTTCTGTTCTCTCACATATTCCCCACGCTATCAGCATTTTAAAGGCATACATTAACATTTAAAATTTAAAAGGCATTTGTTCTTTTAGTATAAAAACGAAGTTTATTTAAATTTTACTGTAATTGCTTACAACAGGCGATTGAAACACTTTGCTCTGTGTTCTGAACCAGTATGTCCACTAGGTGGTGGTGTGGTCAACATAAATTTGCTACATACCGCTACAGGCGACTAACTCAGGTGAAACATTTGTGCCCCAACTGTCATACTCTTGCCTAGTGACTGCTGTGTATTTTCCTATATGGATGAAGGCTTTTGCCTAATGATTAAATACACTCAATTTAAAAATTAAAAAAAAAAAAAGAAAGTTTAAACCTCAGTTCCAATTAAGGTAGGACGGATATACAGGCTAGCAGCAGTTGAGTATGGGACCCACTCCTTTTCCACTTCCACAAGTTTCCGGATGCACTCTAACAGCTCATTCTGGTCAAAGCACTAAGAAGGAAAAGAGAAAGCAAAAAATTCTAATTAAGGAATACAACCCAAACACTGTCATCTTGATAGATCCATATGCTATGCTGAACACCTCATCAGCCCATAGGTTTTACAGGACAATAATAACTTCCTCAAATTAATTTCTTAAAAGATTTAAGATCCCACTGTCTTTGACTCTGTTCCTTTTCATACACTATCCTTAATGTTCTCCTGATGCTACAAAGCATCCTCCTGAGGAAGAAAAAAGGAGCCACTGATACTTCTTGCCTTCAGAGCACACGGAGAGAACTCCCTGTGCAGCCAACTCCTTCACTTCCCAGGAAGTGCTGTGAGCTCCAGAACCCACTCTTCTGCAAAAAGCAGAAGAATCCCTTTGGTTATGGCTCCAATAGGCACACTAAGACTCCCAGATTTACTGCAAAGCAAGTAAGCACAGGAGGAAATTAATTGGCCAATATACAACTTCTAAAAGCAGCATCAAGTTCCAGCACGAACAAAAAAGGCACTCAGATGTGAAAGGGTTTAACTGAGGTAAAAAGAAAAGTAACAACAGTCATGAAAGAGGCAATTTAATCATAGTCTGCATGCAAGTACCTACAGAACAATGGTCACCCCCAGAAAAAAGACTGTATTTATTTGAGGCACAATGGAGAAAGGAAAACACCGTTTTTAACAGAAACAATAATTTCAAACCATTCACTGAATAGGATCTCTTAAAGTTTAAGAGAACTATTCAAGAGTTAGTGTAGTTCAGAAGTGTTACACTACCATAACATTTCGGAGATTTGCACTCTGAAAATAAACATATGCTCTGACTTAAGGAGAGTAAGATGCCTTAGCTACGTACTGGCAGAGTCATTCGTCTTGCTGATCGTGCCATCCTGTCCATGTTGAGGCCTGGCCGGAACAGGCGGATTTTGCCATCCACTCCACGGTAGGCCTTCAATCCTTCAAACAACTATCAAGCCAAAAAGGAGGGAAAAGAAATCAAATAGTAATTGAGGCATGCTATCCCATGATGACCCGAGTAAAAGTAGGACATGCTTCTTGGAAACGAACGAACTTCACTTTCCTGCTCACAGTACTCAAAGCGTAAATGCTAACCACTTAATCTTTGCAACACACTCCTGTAAAGCAGCATTATGATGTTTGTATAAAAAAGATGAGTTATTCCTGCTTCTCATACATCTTCCTGTCAGGGAACTTACTGATAATTCATAATTTGGTTACCACCATTAAAATTTGTAGCATGTGTTTGACTTAACTGTGCCCTCATATCTTGACTGATATCAAAGGCTGAAGTAAAACAATATTCTTTCTTATAGAAAAGTTCTGTTGCAGATCTTAGTGTAGCTGCAGCAAAATCTTGGTCACTCATTTCCCCCATATGTCCCTATGCTGTAGAATGGGGTTTAGTTAGCTTGTGAGATAAGTGCACCAGCTTTGTACTAGAGGAAGAACGCAGGTGAATGGTTTTTCTCTACTTCAAGGGAAACTTTGTCACAATTACCCCATCAAACTGTAGAATGCAAATGGTTAGCACTGACAGAAAGTTCACCAGAAATTCGTCCCAAAAGTGCCCTCCCAGTAGAATACTCTACCTGTATACAAGCAACAGCAAAGGCACCCAAATGCCCACAGAATATCCACTTATTTGCAGTTATAGACTGATAATTTTCAGTTTTAATTATAGGTAGATCACCCATGTGATCACTGATACATACTTATGTAAAATTACTATTTAGATTAAGTATTGAAGGGTCACTCATGCTTACAGATTTTAGATTTTTAGAGCCTATTTTCTGAAGCATTTCTTTGTACAGTAAATTTCACTAGAAGTCCCATAAATTCAATTGCATCACTTCTATTCTTTTGCTACCCCCAAAATGTCTGGAAATACATTCTATACAGTTGGAAGACTGCATATGCAGATTTTTGATTCTGGAAAAAGAACTCTGTATTTTTGTATAGTGCTTTTAATACAACGCTCTTCATTATTATCAAATTCTACAACCTTTTCCCATTCGGATCACTGAAATGCAGTGTTCAGAACGCTTTTGTATGGTCCCTTGACAGAGTTAGGTCTTTCCACATGACAAATTTTAATTGGGTTGTAACTGGGTTGTAGGAATCTCGGCAATTTTCCTTAGGTACATACAGTTATGCAGCAGAACTAGAATTAGAACCCAGCACTTTTTGTCTTCAATCTGTACCACATTTCTATCTTAATGCCAACCTTACAAAAAGTTTTGTACACTGTTTTGAAATTTAAACAGTTCGTAAGATTGCAGCTACAAGAAAAATAATAAATAAAACAAATATCTATCTTAGTAAGCAATGGCATAGCTGGTGTAACGGTTGATACCTGGATACGATTTTTATTGTGTTATTAGCTAATACCACATTTCCGTAATGCTACATGTTCTTATCACAGAACAGTTGTTTCCCCCCACCCTTCTCCCAAAGACATTTATAGAACTTTTAATGAAAGGGAAAAGGAAGGAATGTTACTACTAAGATTTGATCAATGGTTTGAGAGAAATTAGAATTACTTCATTACTGAAACACAAAGTCTTCTCAAGCTGTTAAATCTTTTGTTCCAAAAAGTTTTAACCTTCCCGAGCTCAGCAAAACCTCTTGCTCATTACAAAGGGAGACAGTGATGAGCTCCAGAAATGCCTAACGTGAATAAAAGCAACTGTTACAGTTGCTTGATGGTTAGTTACTACAGTAGTGTGCAAACAATACTGTCTGGCATCTGTACATCACAGGAGCTGGATCTGAAGTTCAGCAGATCCAGTCTATCACACTGCATCATGAAGGGCAAGGAAAAAGGGGAGGGAATGCCAAATTCATCATTTTTATTATACCCACTGCGTATTCATTGAGCCACAGCATTGGCACCAGATTCTCCTCTGTCTGTCCTCTTGTCTAGAGGAAACGTGATGCAGTAAGGGTAAAAGAATAAAAAAATGGAAAAAAATAAGAGCATATTCATATTAGCAATGATTTCAAACGGGGCCAGAGGCCAAGCATTAAAGTAATATGCTACTAAGAGTGAAATATAGATTTGGGACTCCAGCGTGGTTTCTTACTCCTTGGGCAGATCAAGAGCTGCACCATTAATGACAGGGGCCTATTATAATTGACATAGGACTTTTGGAGGCTTGGTGACTAGGTGAGAAAAAAACAGCAAACGCAAAAAACGGTGAAGGCAGGAGCTCAAACAAGAAGGGAAAGAAGGGAAATGCTTGATCCTTCCCTTCCATTACCAAAAAATAATAATAATAATTAAAAAAAAAAGACAAAATAATAAAGATGCATAATCATCTCCACTAACATCAGACCCCCACCTACTCACAGGTGGAAGGAGAAGCAGGCTTCCATTTCCACTCTACGCTCACATGTAGTTCAGTGTATCCTAGCAAGGCTCTCACATAGATGTGAGTACAGCCGAAGCTGCTCTGGAGACACAAAAGGCAGCTTTAGACAGAAAGCAGCTAGGCATGGAAACTATTAACCACGCTGGTTTCCGACTCAACATTTCATTTTCCAAAGTTCCTTGTTGAATATTTTCTGCTTGAATATAGCTGGATATGCTGAATGCCTCAGATCTTGTCTGGAGCTCTCCAGACTTGTTTGGAAACAAGCATCTGTCTAGTCTATCCTACAATCCAAGCCATGGACCTTCAAAACAGCTTAAAATAAGCTTCACAAAGTGCACATTCAGTCCCCACATAAAAGCTGCTCTTAGAATCTCAACAGTTTTATCCAGGGCTTCACTAAGTTACATCAATGACAGCAACTAGACTGATCCTCTGATAGCGAGATTGAATGCCTCATCAAATGAATTCGACACCATATAAGAAAGTGCTCACTTTGAAGCAGGCTATGAAACCAAGTGAGCTGCAATCCACACACCAGAGTCAAATCTGAGTTTTATCAACATAAACACAATCCTATTATAAATAAGGGAAATATTCTGGAAGGACATCATTAACAGCTCAAAAAGTACCTGGATACTAAGGCATTAACTGTCTGTGTATTACAAAGCTATGGTTTCAGAAGCTAATGAAACAAAGTCGAGGTTTCCAAAAGGACTCAGTACTCACTTCAGTAGCATAATGCAGAGATGAACAGGCTGGATGCAAGGAGAGGTTCTGAAGTGGTCTAATACAAGGTTTCTCCCATCCTGAAGCCGAGGACCATTCAATTGTCAGCATATTATCAGTGAACACAGTTCCAAATACCAAACCACTTGGGTCTGGTTTTTCCTTGAGAGTCGTAGCTGGGGTGATAATCAAGTCTGAAGCCTGGAGGAACATGAAACCAAAATGTACACAAAATAAAGAAATCAGACTTATTTAAAAATGAGCCCACATCAGTGAACATGGACAAATATAATATTTCAAATCTGCAAATATATTAATTGACAGAACTGTTAACAGTGGCTACCTCTAGGTAACTGGTAAGGTATTTCTGTGTATGTACATGTAGAGTGCTGCTTAGACTGAAAGGTGTTAGCATTATCTGAAGCACTCTTAAGTAGAATAAGCAGTACAAGGTGAAGAAAAAACAACAAAACACACAGATAAACAGAAAATTACCGGACAAAAATTTCTACGACAGAGATCAGAGTCAGCAGATTACTTGGGTCACGTTAGCATGTCTGCCACATTTGTATTTTCCTAGAAAGAAGGCTGTATGTTTCCCTGCATGAACAGTAGCAACTTTCCCTTGCAAGCTGCAGGGACTAGCTGCAGAAATACATCATAGATTTTTGTAACTGGTTTAGGCGGGGAAACAGGTAAAGTTTTTTATAGAAGCTTGGATGGTGTTTGTCATTGTTGAGAACAATGGGAAGAAGGAAAGCAAGATCTCTAGTAAGTCACTCTCCCTCACACACATAAAGGAGTAAAACAATTGGAGAAGGCTATGAAGTGCACAGAGCTCGATCCACTTTCTCCTTTCTACAGTATCTAAACATTTAAGCTGTTCCAGTCAGAGAGCAAGGGAGAACTCAAGAAACAATCCCATGTGAAGCTCCATGTTCTTTCCTAACAAGACTCAGAACACATTGCAGACCCCCACGAGAAACCTTACTCTTCTGTGCTCATAAAGAACAGACTAGAATGCAAGTAACCAGATACTTGTTCAAGTACTTGCATGAGCACTAATAAACAGGTCTGCCAGAGGTACCACTGATTTTGACTTTTCAGACCCAGCATGCACTTTACAAAATGCAAAAAGATCGGTCTCAAACTTTTGATAAAGAGCACACACACACTCGTCTCTGTAAACAACCTGGTTTTCGAGACGTCTTTAATGAACAGAGGCCTGTTTCATATTGGCAGTATTTGTTGCTGTTGTCTAATAGCTTAGATGTGAAATTAACTTAGAGCCGGAGCACATGAGTAGCTAAAAGCTTGTTTCAAACTGTCTCCAATTACAGGACTTGTGTGGATATTACAGTGCATTAGCCTGGCTGAACTAATGCATAAACTGAGGAAACAACAAATACTCTTAAAACTCTTGAGTTTTACAAGAGTATATAAATACTCTTAAAACCCTTTATCCTGGCAGACAGTCAGTGCTCCAATGGGAAAAGCAGGAAATAACATTGTCTTGAAAATAAAAATGAATCTTACCTTACAACCTCTTATTATGCACTCTGAAAAAAATATCACAGAAGACTGTGAATGAAAATTAAAGCCACAAAGGAGTGTTTGGAGTTCCACACAATGCAATTTTGTGTTGAGGAAAACACTTATGGAGGAGTAGGTTGTTGATGGGGCTTAAGTAAGAAATTAGAACACAATTACATCATTGGCTTCATCTCAGGGCAAAGATGCTCGAATCTCAGCTTCTAAAGAATTCATACTGCCAGTGGAATTAACAGCACTCCCTGAAGTCAGGACTCCTGTCTAAGCTCAGGTCACTTTCATTAAGGTGATTATCTTTACACTGAACTGGTTTGAGGATGGGAATTATCGTATGCAGTCTTGACCCTTTACAAATCCCATCCATGTGCTGATTTTTACCACAGTTTCTTTCATCCTCATTTGCAGCACCACAGCTAGTTGTAAGACAGCTTTTTATACAGCTTGATAAGCTTAACTATTAACAAATATCCTTTAAGGGCAATGAAAGATTTTAATGTGACTCTTCTAACAGGCCCACAAGCGCACATAGAGGGAACAGCAAGCTGCAGCCATAAGCACAAATATCCTTTTGTGGGTGCATTTGGTATTTATTTGACCCAGTTTTGTCACCAAAGGTATTCCTCCAGCTTGATGGACCTGGAGTTCAAAAGATCCTCGAAAAGAGTCTCCGTTATGTGAGTGATAATAACATCATGCCAAGCAATCAAACCAGTGAGGCTGGGAGTGGTTGGAGAGCCCATCCTTAGGGGTATCCCTTCCTCACACAGTGCAGCCTTGGCCTCTTATCTGAGAAGTGCCTGCTGATACCAACATGACTTCCAGAGCAAAGCTTTAACCAGCCCAAACAATGAAGATGTATTACGACCTCCTGAAACTAAAATTCATCATTCGATCAAAACACATCTTGCAAATTATGAACTAAGTCAAATTAACTTGACATGCTGATCAGTGTCAATTTCACCCAAAGCTGTAGCAAGATATTCTTGTGCCATTAGCCAAGATGTCACTTTGGTGTTCATTCTATCCAGCCTCTTCAATAGGCATAAGGGGATTTGGAGCTGACAGCAGCCTCTGGACAGTCCGAGCTGTTATGCCCATTACTAAACCCTACAGAGATGTCCAGGTTGAGAGATTATTTATTTCATCCTACTCCTTCTCAGATGTCATTAGGTGTGGCTGTTTTCACCACACTGAAACTACTAGACCATAAGCAGTATATTGAGGAGCAGTATACTGAGTATAATAGGTAACTCACTTCACATACCTGAACTTTTCAAAGCACTATTCTGGGCCAAACATTTCGGTCATTTACTTGAGTACAAACAGAACTAACAGTCTCAGCTGTAATGCAGCCTTACATGGTACCTAACCCTAATAGCAAGTTTCAGCAGACATCCTCAAAACACCGACGTCACACCATAAGACTAATCTCTTGTGAAACAGGTAACCTCCCTGACTGCTAGTCAAAGTGAATCATTTAAGATCACAAAGCAACTTTAATTATTAATTAGTTATGCTGAGTTTTTAAGCATATCTTATGAAAGATTAGGGCCTTCTGATGCAGTAACAGATAAGGAAGCATAGACAAAATTGAGTAACTTGTTTTGGCTATGCTCCTGTGAATGTGATTGCAGACACAGAGCAGATTTTGAGGAAGAGATTACAAAGAACACAAGGAGTTACTGTAGAGGGGAGAGGCAACAAAGTGTAGCTGGAGGAGCTGAGCAGAACCAGGCTCAGGGGTTCAGATCAGGGGACAAAACGGGATAGTTATGAGGAGGAGAGCACCAGAGCTGAGGATGTTGTTTTCCTGCCCTTCAGCCCTTCTGGCTGCTGCATCTTCATCACTGCCTTCTATTGGACGCTTCCCAAGACACACAACCCTGTTTCAGGAATCCATTCTTCCTGCTGGAAGAGCTACCTCCCTCAACACCTTCTGCCTGTCCACCTTAACATGAGGCTGCCTCTGTGTGGCAGGCTAAGGAGAGAACATGTGTACTGCATGGAGAAGCAGTGCTGGGGAAGCAGGCTGGGATACTAACTAGGCGAAGCAACAAGCCACTTTCCACAGCCTCTGGAATCTGAAATGCTCTCTTATCTTAGCAAGTTGGCTTTTTTTTGGCCTTGCTGTGTCAAGGAGCGGATCGCCACCTTTCTTCTGTAGCTCATTTAGCTCTTCTCCTTCCATATGTCAAGGTGCAGGTGGCGGAATGTTGCCCCTATTTCTTGCTGACCTAAGCAATTTTCTCAGCAGGCTGAGAAAGCTCATCCTATGGATATTTGCAGAATCACAGAGTTGTAGGGTTTAGAAGGGACCTCTGGAGATCATCCAGCAAAACTCCCCTGCTAAAGCCAGATTCCCTACAGCAGGCTGTACAGGAAAGTGTCCAAGCAGGTTCTGAATATCTCCAGAGAAGAGCCCACAGCCTCTCTGGGCACTGTTCTAGTGCTCTGTCGCCCTCACAGTAATGATATCATCCTTGTGTTCAGATGGAACTTCCTATGTTCCAGTTTGTACCCATTGCCTCTTGTTCTGTCACTGGGCACCAGCCCAGCAGCCTCCTGTGGCAGGGTTCAGGCTAGCATGGAAGCACAGAAGTGCTTCGACAGAGCAGCTATTCTGAGCTGCCACAGAGAACAGCAACCTGATCCAGAAGAGTGCTCATCACATAGTCCTACTTTCTGTAGGCTGATGTTGTGAATCATGTTTAATAGCCAGTACTGAACAAACGAGCATAGCTTGTACCAAGCTATTGCCAAACTTGAGAAATCAGGGATGACACGCCAGCTCCTCCATCAGGGCATCAGACCAGACAGCCGCAGTGCTGCTGCAGGAAGTGGGAAAAGGTCACAAGGGCTGTGCATCTTTTTAGGGTAACCAGTTATTTTCTCCTCCACTGGGAGAAAACAAACACTAAGTTGTTTGCCTATTCCTACATCTTGCCTTAGAAACAGAAACACTGAATACTGCTCCAGCGGAGGCAACCTCTTCTTGCAGTTCTTATTTTGCTCTCAATTTGCCTGACTTACCATCTCTCAGCTCTATCCACTAGTCATTAGCAGACACGACAGCAGTACAGTCTACTTAAGCAAAAAATGAGAGATTTCTGTGCTGATCTTGGGCAAACCACCGCCCTTTGCTTTTGTTTATTTTCTCATGTCACATTCTTTAAAAAAGACTGCTTGTTTTCTGGGGCAGAGACCATCACTTTCTGCACAGAGCTAAGACAGGTATGACTGATCACAGTAATAAAGTCTAAGCATAAACAATAAGATCAATAATGATTATATTAACTCTAAACAGAATAAGACAGTTAAATAAATTCTTAGGAATTTATTACTAGTTTACAAGTATAAACAGTAAAATAAACTATCCTACAATCACTTTACTGTCATTACTATTTTAAATTATTGCAGAGCCTGAGGCTTGAAAATGGAACTTATGCCAAGCAGGAAGAAAATTCTAATTTTCCTATTATAAAAAGAGAGAGAGAGAGAGAAAGAGAGAGAGAGAGAGAGAGAGAGAGAGAGAGAGCGAGAGAGAGAGAACCAAAATATAAAACTATATTCTGCAGCCTCAGGGAGAATACCCAGAAATTTTTCAACATAAGGCTTCCATGAAACTGCATTTGGGAATACTTGTTAGCACA